ATGATCCTATCATTTTGCTCAGTGTCCTCAGTCGAATCAAAATCGTAAATCACCTCATTTTCAGATTCAGAATCTGAGTCACATAATGTTTTTCAAAAATACCAGACTTTGAAATTTCTTCAATTTGCGACTCAGATTTTGATGAAGAGTCAAAATTTAAATTTTTTGTGGGATAGAATGACTTAATTTCTGAATGAGAAAACTGAAGTTTTCTAGTTTTATAACTTGAATTTAGATCGTCATATTTCAGTCTCATATTATTTAAAATTTGGAGTTTCAAAACTTCTTCATCTGATTTATATTCACACTTTTTGAAGAGTTAGGCGATTCAGATTCAGATTTAACAAAGATTTCACGAACATAAGGGATTGTGAACGTTGAAGATCCTAACTCATTGAAATTATATAAGGAACTCTGAGCATTTTTTAAAACATCAATATCATTCAAACCTAAACCCATTCTTGGATTGTAAAACCTCGTATCTTTGGGTTTATTTGTTAAAATCTTCAATGTTTACTCAAAAATACCTCTTTTAAAATTAATTTCTTCCAACTATTTGACTTTAGTGGTAAAGGCTTGGGCATGGCATAGTCATGAACCCGAGTTCGAGCCCTGGGAGGGGAGTGTTGGCGACATTTTAGTGGGGCCATGTTTAGCCTCCAAATTTGCCGGGGATTAGTCGGGCTTTGGCCCGGACACCCTTACACAAAAAAAAAAAAAAAAAAAAACTATTTGACTTTATCATACAATTGAACTCTTTCTTTGAGAATTAAATCAAATTTCAGCTGAGTTTCAACTTTCTCACCCTCTACTTCATTCAAATTATTTTTCAATGTAACAATTTGTTTTTCTAAATCAGATCTAAGATGTTCTTTTTCTGATCTAAGTTGTTCTTTTTCTTTTCTCAGATCTTCACATAAGCCTTTATAACCAAAATTTTCACTTAAAAGTTTTAACAGTAAAGCTCTTTCACTTTTAAGCTTTTGTTTTAAAACATTAAAATCAACATTCATATACTCAATTTCATTAATGAATTCAGAATTGTAAAAATTAAGTACCTTAGATTTAGATCCAATGCTTTGCATGTCCTTTGACATCTTTACTGAATGCAATTGACTTGGAATCATCGTTTCAAAGAAATTCTTGAACTGAACTGGAATCTTCAAGAAAACCTCTTGACACTTAGGGGTTGTTTGACAGTTGCTGAGTGGTTTGGTGCAGAATGATTAAGAGGCTCTCATGATATAGCGTAAAATGAAATATAATTGTTCGGTAATTGTTTACAATGAAATTAGGGCGTTAAATGGTTAAGGGAGACCCATGATACAAAATCATTCAGAGGGTTTTAAAACCATAAAGAGACAGACTTTTTATTTGTCAAACAATATTCACCTCTTAACAATTTAGATGTTGCCTTTTAATTGAACTATTAGGAGGTAAACAAACAACCCCTTAGAATATCTTTTGATAAGATATCTCTTAACAGGATATCGCTCACCACTTGGGCGATGTTCTCAAATATCGGACGAAGCTTGGGCGATATACTTAAAACTCCAAATATTTCTTGAGTCTTGGGCGATATACTCGTATATCGCTCAACTCTTGGGCGATATAGACTAACTTCAAAATTAACAAGGATATCGCTCAACACGTGGGTGATATTTCACGAAAATCGATTGACCCTTAATCGATATTTCCCATAAATCTTGAACTACCAGAAGGAAAGGATATCGCTCAATACTTGGACGATATATCCAAATATCTTTCAACACTTGAGCGGATTACATACAAATATATTCCACACCTTGGGCAATATAACAGAATATCGATCAACTTCTGAGCGATATAACCCAAATATCATTCAACACTTGCACGGATAAAACAAAATAATTCTAAACTATCTTCAACAAGTGATATCTTCAAGGATATTTTTCAACACAGATCTTCAAACATTCAATGGGCGATGTTCTTGAGAATATCACTCACAACGTATCTTCAACGAGCGGTATTGATCAATCTGACAAAGAGTTCGAACAAATTATGTCAAAAATACACAAAACTCAAAATTTGACAATGAAACTTGTACAGATTAGCTCGAAATTGCATCCTAAACAACATTTTTTACAATTTTGCCAAAAGCATATAAAAAATAACCAATTTTGATCAAAATCAACCAAAACAGTTTTGAACTTTTTCAAGAACTGTCGAACACAAAATCAAGAAATTCAAAACAGATCTAGATTCCAAATTGAATTCAATTCCTTTCTGATTTGCTCAGATACCAATCGTAGATCCCAAATTCAAGTCACAATCATATAAGATCAAGAATCAAGAACACAAGATTGAATATTGAATAGCCGAATGTATATTGATGTCAAAATAGTACAAAGTGTTCTTGATAATGTCTGCAAGTGATTGAATAATAAAACTGCAGAACTAACTACCAACAGCCAACAAGCAACCTATTTATACCCTTTTATTACAAATCATGTAAAGACTAACTATAAAGCAATGTAAAACAGTTCAAGCACAAGACATGAATACAACAATATATTCTGACATAGGGTTTAAAGGCAGCATCCTTGGTGGTGGTCAACGGGCAGGGTTGAAGGGGTCGCCCTTGAGGGAAACTGGTTGAAACAAAAATGAGTTTAAAAGAGCTGACACTAACAGTTTTAGCGTCAAATTGTAGATCAACGGTTATTCATCAGTTTCTGAAAACACTAATAGATGTGCCAATCGTAGGCAATTGTTTCCCATCAACACAAATACATATCATGGTAGTTGATGCATATGAGCGGTGGCTGATGTAACACTCCTAAAATGAAGATAATTTAAACTACAAAATGTTTGGTATAAATATCAAGATGCGAGTTTTACTATCAAATGCCAAGTAATTACAAATGTAAATAATGGTTAATAGCTAACAACTTCCTAAACTAGACCACTATAGAATTTGATTACATTCAGGTGTTACTACAACCACTAAAAGGCTATATCGACCAAGCTTGCAAGGCGCTCCAAAAGTTCTACCCAACTAGTGCCTCTACCAGCACCCAACGTTCCACTCAAACTTCCTTAGCCCTGCCACTTAAATATCTTGATATACATGTCTATGATAAAAGTGTTAGGCTTGAGGTCTAGTGAGTTCAAACAGTTTACAAACAAGGTTATAAAACAATAATCTTAAAAGCATGAATTTTGTAAGAATTGACACCAATCAAGCAACCAATTCTCATAAACCATAAATATCAAAACACATCTTGTGATGATGGAAGAGATGCGATTTTCCATTGATAGTGACGGAGCATTAAAGTAAGCGACATATCCATGTTCACGAGCCCCACGACGTATCAATGATCATTGATTTCAACCTTGTACGGTCTATGGCCCAAGACCCCTAGTGATACTAGATATGCCAATCCACTAATTACACTTTAAAAAGGTCAATGACTGATGTCCGACTCCATATGAGTCCTCACCACAATGAACGTGATGACCCGGTGTCTCGTTTCTAGTTACAACACGAGAAATAACCATCCCTTTCCCAAAAACAACAAACCAACTCATATGTCTATGAATCCAATGCATAACAGTCTAATACACGACATAACATTAGAATGTTCAACCATGTAGCTTTCCAATATATATGAAAAGTAAATGCACTTCTAAAAAAAGTATGCAAAATGAGCAATAAATATTCGTTTATCCCAAGATGAACCATAGTGGTCAAAAACCCATATCTCCTTTGAACAATTTTCCCTTTCTTAAAACCTTATAAAATATTTACCATTCATAAAGAACCATCACAAAGCAATATGGCACTTTTCCCAAGCATTAGGTACTCCATATTCAAGAAGGATGAACAAATTCTACAAAATCTCATATGTGACACAAAACCAATATAACTCAAACCCTTAGAGGTTTAACCACAAGGGTCGTGCCTGATTGGTTTGAGCATAGCTCCAAAAGTCAAAAGTACCAGGAGGTCACAAGTTCAAATCCAACGAGGAATAAAAATCCCCTTGTGGCCACGGAGGTTCAAATGCGGTGACTCCGGGCTATCTGCAAAGCAGGTGGTCGCCCTGAGATTAGTCGGCTCGCATAACGGGTTGGATATCCAGGTTAATAAAAAAAAAAAAAAACCCTTGAGGTTTATACTCCAAAATGATCCATGGCTTACTTAAAATCCCCTTTTTATGTTGTTACAAAGAGATCATAACATTAATTCTTGAAAGTGAACAAAATCCCCAAAATGCCTAAAGTTAACAAAATGGCCCAAATCACAAAAACAAAAGAGATAGACCATAAGGAACGGTTGTAAGACTAAAATATAACATTTTAACATGCATATAGTTTTAAAAAAGAGTAAGATGAACTTACAATGCGAGGTTTTGACTAAAACCTAGAAACCAGGTGAAACTCTAGATTTCTTGGTGAATAATCCCTAAGTTTCCACCCTCAAACTTTAATCCAAGCCTTCTAGATTTCTAAACTCAAATTTAATGAGGAGAGAAAGGGAGTACATGAGAGAACTTACGAAACCCTAGGAAAAATCCCTCTTCCGCTAGACCCTCACACATACATGGCACCTAGCGACCCACAGCGTGGACTAGGCCACATGTTTACCCACATAAATCACAGTCGATGTGCGGCTACACAAAGGCTTGTGCAACCTTGGCCATGACTTCAGGTCACGGGCCAAGTCGCATGGAGCTCTTTTTATCCCGATTTTCCTCCTTTTTCTGTTGATCGTGTTGAAGGTGGTCTATTTGTTGAGCACTCTGATGTAAAAGGTAAATTAGGTACATAGTTGACCCGCTAGGTGGCTGGTTTAAGAGTCCCATGCCGATGATACACCAATCCCGAAAGGAATTGTAACCCTCCCACTGGGCTGCCAGACACAAGTAGGCCACTCTGAACCAACTGTTGTCCCTAGAACCAAAGACCACTTGTACAAGTGAAAAGTGAGATCAATCAAGTTTCTTGAAATCCTTATGGGTGAAAGAAACAACAAAATTTGATTTCAGATATGGTGGCAAGTGTAAACTGAGCTACAGTTCATATAGTAATAATAGTAAGAGAACCAAAAAAAAGAACAGAAACCAAAAGGTTTCAAACAGAACTTTTAGATTTTGATCTTCCCTCCTTGCCCAGTTCATAGGCAGACATAAACTCTCTTTTTGCCGCTTTTTACATTCGCTTCAAACTCGTTGCAGTTTGAACCCCGGGTGCTAAACCGCTACCACTGGCTTTACATCATCGTTCTGTTTCTGTCGCTGCTCTCGCGCCACACCTACCGCCATCTCGCTTCCATTTCCATTGCAATCTTCTTCAGCCTTCTCCTTTTCTGGCGTAGAGGGTTCCTCAATAGCCGAAGGCTTCTGAACTGGGGAATTGCCGCCAGGGGGAAGGAAAACTCCAGTGCCAGGTACTGGTAAGCGAGGCGGAGCATGCTGCATCAGAGGAGCTGCTGTCCAGCCACCAGATACAGGTGGCAGAGCCACAGGTGAAGCCGAAAAAGCCATGGCAGGTGCAACTGCTGCCGGAATAAAAATGGGTTGGATGCCATTTGAGGGTTGCAGCTGTGGACGAGCAGCAGCCAGAGTGGGCAAAACACCAGTTGTTGGGACTGAGACATGGTGCTTGGGAACCATCGGATGGCGAATGTGGTTTGGGGGCCGTGTAGGGGGTGGGACCCAGTGCGATGGAGGTGCAGCGGTTGCATGTGAAGGAGAATGCTGACCATCACCTGGTGTGGTTCTCTTTGGTTGCGACTTGGTAAAGGTAACAAGTATACGCTGTTTCCGTATTGAGTGGATCGCGTGTCTAGTAAAATCTGCAGATCTACCTTCCATAACAAGCACAGATCTGCAAATTTCAATGTGATCAAAAGACAAAATTCACATAAATCAATGACATTAGTCGCATGACTCAAGAACATTCAAGTATAACTCAAGTTTTAATTCAACTCGAGTAAGTTAACACATGTTTTATCTACAAAATAAATATGTATACAGATAAAAGGTTGGTTGTTCTGTAAAAGACATATTTGTATCAATGACATTAGTCGCATGACTCAAGAACATTCAAGTATAACTCAAGTTTTAATTCAACTCGAGTAAGTTAACACATGTTTTATCTACAAAATAAATATGTATACAGATAAAAGGTTGGTTGTTCTGTAAAAGACATATTTGTATTTGTATTAAAGCATGTCCACCATTTTATCTTCATACATTAAACCATTATAATTTGACTATGCATATCATTGAATAGATTATCAAAATGTTTGCCAAACATAGTAATCAAATGAATAGATGTCTGTTGATCTAATTTGTATTAAATGAATTTAAGTCGGGTTAAACAAGAACAGAACTCAAACCGAATGCCTTTAAGCTTAATTGAGTTGGTTCAAATTTTCCTATATGCTCTCTATGATTGGGTCAAGAAAGAATCTTGTTCAAACTTGACTCAAGCAACTTATCATGAGTAGATTCATATGGACCATGTTCAGTTCAGGTTAAAGATGCAGAAAGCCAGGGCCTTCCAAGCCCATTTTAAGTAAGCAAAAAAAGAGCCCTGGATTTTTCAGATGTAGAAACTTGTGGAACATAATCGTACAATCAATAAAGATGACCACGAGCGAGCTTGAAATTATCCCAAAAAAGGAAATGTTTCCATAAATATATGGCTATTTTTAGGATGGAGTGCTTATTGGAGCCTGTACACCTTACATTGAAAAATGTTTTACTGCAGCATATGCTATAAACATAAACCACCATGACCTTATATGCATTAGTTCGTCACCCTCTAGCCGGATTTTTTTCACCATAAAGTAAAATTCACAGGGTGATAGATCATATGCCATGTTTAAGAGGATCAATGTAAGGATTTCTTATTTGATAAGCACCATTGCTTCAAAAGTGCAAGAGTTCCTTGATGTTTTTCAAGATCCTATTTATATTATGCGTCTTAAATTGGGAGTCTTCACGTAAACAGCCTATCCACCCTCTGGGACAGAACTAAGGTGTGCGTACATCCTCCCCCCCCCCCCTAACAAATAAAATGAACACACACACAAACACAGAGAGAGAGAGAGAGTACCCGGGAGTAAGAGAGAGCTTAATAGAACCTCTGTAGTCCCCAGGATGGTCCACTCCGATTACTCTACCAAAAGTCATGTCACATTCTGTCACAAACAGCACACATACAGGCCTTCCAAACCAATGTGGCCATATATGAGGCTGTGAGTGATCACCCTACACATAGCATCCTCTAGTTAGGCCAGTCATAGTAGTACCACACGGTTGTATTAAGCAATACAAGTGATAAAGAGTTCTTAACCTCATTGAAGATATCGATAATGCAGGAGTCGGGCTTCACTGTCAGAACTTGCATGGCCATTAAGCCCTCAATAACGTCTTGAAATAGACTTGGAATGGGTTCTATTCTCCGATCTGCAAAAATCAATATTATTTCAATTGCTGGTAGAATTTGATGCAAATACATTTATGAATTTATGTACATGCCTTTCGATGTTCCACTGATGACCTCATCTTCAAATGGTGCATCAGCAATGGGCAGTCCCAGTTGAATCATCTCTCTTCCATGGCCTTTCATGGGTCTCTTTGAGACAACATATGCCTGGCCTGCTTCTTGTCAAAAAAGTTTCAGGAATTATTTTACTCTATATATTCAGGATCAAGGAAATTGCCACTGCTATTTAGAAGCTGGTAAAAGAAAAGGCAAAAGAGCACAATCTTCGAGTTTGATATATTCCTATGTTAGAAACAGAACACAAATTGAATTACCATAATAAACTGTGAAACCAACACACATATGAACCCCTTTGGTAACAAAAGAGTACCATGCTATATATTTTATCGCACTTTGAAACAGAACAAGGATTGAACTACCATGCTAAACTAAGTGCTAGATCTCTACCTTTGACCCATCCAATGAACCTCTTTGGACAACAGAAGACTCCCGCCATTGCGTAATCACAGAAGCGTCACATCAATTTTTTTGGATAGAAACATATACTTTAGTACGAAAGGATTCAGTAGTTACAATAATTAATTTTGAGTATATAGACAACAGAAATAGAAGAATCACGTTCATCAGTAGTTACTCAGACTTTACTCATTCTTAATGAGACATTCCTTTGATAACATTATTGAACCCGTGAGTCCATGAAGTTATCTATAGGGATGGTGATATATTGGGCGGATTCACTTGGTTTTCTATATAAGTCAACAGTTTCCGATCAAGTAAATGGCCCAACCTTTTTCATATGAAAACATCTCTTAAAGATGGATGGATTGATTGCTTCAAGCTGATGATCAGTAGTGACATCAAGCAACAGCTATTCAACTTGGTTGGTAGTAAACTCCAATGATAAGCTTTTAACTATTTCTTCATGTCATTTTACAAGGTTTTCGCATTGGAGACATAGCCTTGTAAGCAAAAGCTTGGTCCTCACCAAGCGTTTGATACATTGGTGAATTTTCAATTTACCCTCTTCTACAATCATACTTTCATTTTATACCTTCATCACTTTTTGATCAAGTACCCTAATTTATTAAATATTTAAAATATAAGTAAATGTTTTCTATAACAAACTACATCATTTAAAAGCTCTAATTGAGACGATTAACAATTATCGAATATTAAAAAACATAAATACCATGTAATATTTTACGAAGAACTCAAATAAGATTCACATTTTTTGAATAGGACGCATTGACAATTAACATGATGTATTTATAATGGTTCTTTATGGATTCATGATGGTTCTCTAGAAGGGGCTTTATAAAACAATTCTAAAAGATGAAGATAATTGTTAAAAAGGTTTTGGAAAGGTTTGGAGGATGTTTTTGAAGAGAGGCTTTTGTTTAGTGGAAAACTGATGTGACAAAAACAAAAAGTCATTAAAGACTTGTGCATATGCTTTATATAATCACAACTTATCACTAGTGACAGTTATATTAGAATGATATTTTGTATTTGTAGCAGCCTATGTAATGCAAGTAAATTACAAATTTCATTCTTGAACTTATGGATAACTAACTCTTTTTACCCTGTGATTTGTGAACTTCCGCTCTAGTATAACTGAGAGATTACATTAGTTTGGAAACGTTAGTTGGAGGACTACCAATGCAATTTCATGAGCTGCAGGGTAAAGGTGTTAGTTATCCATCAACTGACTAATATACTTGGGTATCCTTTGACCCTAGCTAGAATACCAAGGTCAAAATGAGATAAAACTAAAATACAAAATAGCATACAACTTACAATAAACATAAAGAGGAAGAGTGTAAATTTTAGAAAGGATCGTTAAAGGAAGTGAGGTTATAATTACAAAATCCCACTTTCAATCATGGTACTTTAGGATGGTATAGTAGCAAAAGGAAAAAAGACAAATAAGGAACATTGTATCAAGGCAAGGCAAGGATGCAATATGGGGGCATATTTATGTTTCAGGAATATCTAACCATATGGATGTGAATATACTGCAATCTTAAGCATGCCAACTTTCCTGTGCTTCAGTGATGTAAATCCTGTTCAGTTTATGACTAAACAGCAACTCTACGTAAGACAAGTATTGGGATTGACATAATCATAGCACATAAGAACAGGATATCATTTCTCGTTTTCTTCTAAGCAGAAAAAACTCAGGTGGTCTGCATATAATTTGACAATGGCCTAAATCTCCAGATCATAAGAAATGTCACAGACTCGCTTATTTCCCTTGTTTCTCGGAGGCTCTACTCGATATTTCGAACCAAACTGCAGATTTTATACATGTTTAGCAGCCTCATATTCATCATAAAAGTAGACCTATACTGACTCTCATGCTCAGCTTCCATCCAAAAATCAGGAACTCGATTTTCATCAAACCCTTTCTAGTATCACTTGCATTTAGTTAGACCATATGGTTCTCATACTCCCCACCAGTACCATCACAAACTTATACATGGTCCGCATCATGCTCACCTGTCAGCTTACAAGAACCACCTAGCGTTTGCAAGTCTTTGTGGCACTTAAAAAGCCAGCCTTGCATTCAACCACCATAAATCTTTACTAAAGTTGAAAGGGTGAAATAAATAAAGATAGTAATTGGAATCAAATGACATTTCACTCCATGAGAAAGGTATGATACATCAGTCAACATCATGAAAATATGCCATGTGACAATTAATCTTTTCCCAGCAACAAAATCAAAAACCAGTGATAGGTGAGTTTGCTTTAGCCGAACCATGATAGACATTTACCATTCTAAACATATGTTGACTGAGAGAACTTGCAAGAAACAAAGGTACAAAAAGATGAAAGCTGAGATAAGGCCCTATATTCTGATGAACAAAACATGCAGTCTTACAATATCCCAGTTCTGCTAATATGCCTAATTATAGGTGAGCTGTGTACTTTTCGATAAAATTAAGCCCCAAATAGTCATTAACATTGACCTTGCATGGTGATACTACAGGAACCATAAAGTGTAAACTCCAAGTCTCAAACAATGAATAAAGCGTAGAAGTCCATATGGGTGCATTTGGTACGTGGATGGGACTTGACAAGAATGGACAGTCGACATTGAGGTAGGCAAGTGAAAGAATTTTGGAAGATTTAGGGTTTCAATTTGATATAGGTGGCTTAGTAGTTTACCAATCTTGTTCCATCTCCCAGATTTTTGTTCCACCAATTTCAGTGGAATAGAAAATATGCATTTTTGTCCCACTCAGGCCCCGTCCTGTCCGAGTCTAATGTCACGCCAAACGTGGGACAACAAGTTTTTGCACTTTCATGTCCCGTACTATCCTGCTTAACAAACGCACCCTATAAGAATAGAATTTGACTACCAGCAAGTTTGTTGGAATTGTAACCACATTGTTATACCAAGAAAAAAATAACATTAACCACAAGCAGAGAAGAGCATTACCACTTTTGAATCACATACCCCCAGTATCATTGATTGTGTTGTCACCCCCATATGAATCCACAAAGTAAGAATTAAAGAGCACATGCAGATTTGGTAACACTAGATATAGAGTTTGTTATCTCAAATACACTAGAATGAAGCGATATGATCCCATTCTGAAAGTGAAGAGTTTCAAAGAACCAAGAAGAATTCAGAATGCACAATTATGTCAGGGAACCTTATACTTGAAAGGAAAATATGAAAGCAATTTGCATCATCAAAATCCAAATATAGTTGGTAACTTGCCTTGAAATTTTCCCTGTCTTCCTGCATTTCTCAAATCATTAACCAAGCCAACCATTTTGCCAACTTCAGAGTCATCAAACAACTCTTCATACATTTTCATCCCTTCAACCACATTAATCTACAAATAGAAAATGGTTAAACTAAGACGTAGAATAAGATTAAATACCAGATTTAAGTATCTCAAGCTATTAATAGAGCTTAAGAAGGTTACCTCTTTCCCATCCAACATCTCAGTACCAACAAAAGTTTTGGCAACAAGTGAAACATTCGGCTTCTGGTATGGAGTATGTGTAGAAGATGAATCATTCTCCAAATGCACAGTAGAACATACTTAAGAAGAAAAAGTAATGTCAAATCATCCATTTATTCTATTCCATTTCTATTGCAAAAGCAGCAGTTAGAGAGAAGGGCATACACATAAACTGATCTAACTTATTCTCAGCCTCAATATGTGAGCTTAGCATTTACTTCTATGCTATAGAGAAGTTGGAACAAAAGGAAAATAACTTATATATTTCATACTAAAGCATGAAAGTAAATAGAATTAAACGAATGTCAAAAAAGAACCAGAAAGAAACTGGTTGTGGGAGAGGAATGAGGAGAATACTTTTTCCTCGGATTCCAAACAATGATTGGAACAATACCAAGAAAATGAAAGCAACTCATACCTAATACCCCCCCCCCCCAGTTGTTACAAGATTAAGCATAAACAAACAGATAGCAAAAAAAATGGATGACAGTAAGAGAAGGGTACAAGTACCTTTCAAGTTTGGATTGCATTTAAAATTCACCTCCTTTGCCTCACATTCTGAATTGCCAGACAAGGTTGATTGTGAGTCCAGACTCTTTTGGTTATTATCCACTTGAGGTTTTGAGCTCAAACCTGTTCCAAATCGAATGAGATAGTCATCATCTTATTTTCCACAACACAGAGCATGACTATAACGTACTCTTGCATACAATTCCAAGCCACGAGAAAGGAGGAGAGCATGCATTAGGCCTTGCAGACATGTACGTCGTATCTAGCTATTCTCGTGAAAATAAAAGCACATAAAGTTTGTAGGGGTGAAACCCTCTTATTGCATGTTGAACTGAAACCTGGGTTGTTTAGTTCATTATTCACTTAGTGGTGTTGCAGATCAATGTTCAGGTGTCGTTAGAAATTAGCAAGTGTATGCTCATCAACCAGAAACTTGAGTACACCTCTGCAGGTAGGCAACCCTTGTCAGCCATGTGGCAGTTTGAGCGATTTAGCTATATATGGTTCCAGGGAGCTAATTGGTAACCAAAGTAGGCAAGAGAATATTGCATGAATTCAATTTCTACAAGAGAAGGTGATAGATCTAAATAGATCAGGAGCACGAGTTTCAAGCTATGGCATCCATGACGCAATAAGACAAAAAAGGGGTAGGTATGACAACCAGTAAGTGCCTAAAAATGGTATAGTTAGTCATGTGGAGTTTTCCATTTAGTAAAGGCTTTAAAAGAATTTATGGAGGCATGGATATGGTACATGAATCAAGGGGATTAAAACTCGAAACTTTCAGTATCATATAATGTTTTAGTCATGTGGAGTTTTCCATTTAGTGAGGAACTCTTTCATCGGAGATTCTAATGGTCATGTTAGGAAGAGGTGGTAAATGGTTTAGAATATATCATGGAGATTTGGGTGTGAGTAGAGATAAGGCCTGCGTACATCCTACACTTCCTGACCCTACCTTTGTGTGGGATATACTGAATTGGTTTGGTTTAGTTATATGAATCAAGGAGAACAAATTTAAATGTTGTAGCAGATAATGGTTTGTTGGTGACAAACTGTCCTTCATAATACATGAACCATGTTAAATAACCTTTAGCAGGGATTGAGCACCAGCCATGAAGACTTTTTCCTGCCTATGAAAAACGTATTGCATAAATTTTGAAGTTGAGCCTGCAAAACATGTATAAGCAGTAAAAACATAGGTTTTTAGTGGTAGACAGCCACCAGGTAGTACCGTAGTACAACGTTGAAGGAGAAAATTTAAGTATGTTTATTGATGAAATGGATAAAGGAGGACCTTTAGTTAATACAATGTAAAATAGCAGTGTGCATTCAGATGGTAGCAAATGTGGACATCAATGAAAAGCAGATATCAAGTTGCGGATGCAAAGCAGCAGAGTGAGAAGCAGAAGAGGCTATAAAGGATAAAAGGGGTTTCCATAAACACTTTAGGCCAGAACAAACAGTATATATAAGATGCAACTTCACAGTGTTGAAAAGCATATCCCAGAAGAAAGTAGTTAGGAATATTATTTTTTGTCATTTGAGTTTTCCACAAACATTCAGATATTGATGAGGATGTTAATCATGTGATTATCGCAACATGGACAAAATGGCAACAAGCTTTGTAAGTCTTGACCAAAAAGTTCCACTCAAGTCGAAAGATAGGTTCTTGAAAATAACAGTAACACCTGCTATGGTTCATGGGGCAAAAAGTTGTCTCTAGAAAGATAACATGTATATGATAATAATGAAGAAGAAGCGTGGATGTTGAGATGGATGCATAGCAACGCAGTTTGGACTGAGACTAAGAATGAGGGTACAAGAGAGAAGGGTGGCACTGGTTGACAAGAAGTTAAAGCCACATCGTTTATGATAGTTGGTCATCTCCAACATAGACCTTTCAATGCATTAGTCACAAGACAAGAGTTGTTCCTATATCACGCATCATCCCAACTGCATCAATTAGTTGGGCCGCTTAATCGGTCACCTATGTGTTAAGAATCACCCACTACTTCAATTGGAAACCGATTGTTGAATTAGGCATTTCAAAGAATAAAGTGGAGATCAAATGATATTCTCAACTTGCCTTTCTTCAGTATGTTTCTCTTAATGAGGTAATCTTTTGACTCTTTCCAAGTTGTATCAATGGAACAATAAAATTAGTCGTCTAGAAAAGCAAATTTACCAAAATAATGTGGTGTCGAATCATTACTTCTCACATCTATATATACGCTGATGAGAATTATATTTCATACATTGCCTAGCTTTGTTTATCATTATTTCTCACATCTATATATACGCTGATGAGAATTATATTTCATACATTGCCTAGCTTTGTTTATCACTTTTTAGAACACTCTTATCTTGTTATGTTGACTAGACTAGCAAGCTAAGGTTTCCATAGCAGCATATTTTAAGCATCATGAACTAACATCAGAAAACACTATGAGAAAATGGTTGTTCCAAAAATACCTTATGTTGCTTTGTAACCTGTTTAATGAACTCAGTGAACCTGGGTGGAGATATAATAATAGCATGTGCCAGAAAAATGATTTATTGGTTATGATGTAAGGATGCATATATGAACCACCATGCTTCTAGATAGAGACAAATCAAGAACATTGTATGAAACATTTAAAGTTATAAATTTATTCAAGAAATACAAAATTCAAATATTTTGGAAAGAAACAGAGTTGAAAGATGCAGCCTAATATAAGATTTAAAGCAATCTGAAACGACTTCCAAGATTATGAAGATACTTAAATGAAAACTAAATGACAGATCATATGCTATCATGTTGACCACTAATATAAAATTTACGAAAGATAGGAATGGTTATAAGAATACAAACAAAGAAAAAGGGGGAAAAAGTAGCACTTGTGTGTGCTTCACATAAACAAGTAATAAATCATCACCATATGGATATAGAAACAATGACTTAGCAAATACAGTTGATTTGAATGCAAGAAATTTCTAAACATATACTTAAAATATTGTCAATGAAACCTGACAGAAAGTATAGAACCCCACTCATCTCTTACCATTGTTATACTTTGCAAGCGTGACATCCTTTTCATCAGATTTTAAAACTTCATTCTTTACCAAATTGCTAGACCCATTTGCAACAGTGGAATTATGACCTTCCTTCAGAGCAATTTCAACTTTATGGCCCTGGCCCTGCCCCTGCCTGGACCCAACACCAGCAGATCTCTTATACTCCTTTCCTGGACCCCCAACCTTCACCGGATCATAATACCCACCACGATTATGTTGTTGACGCCTCCAGGTCACCTGCTGCAATGCGTACAACACCTCAGCCACAGAAAAATACTGCTGCAAATGAAGAACAGGATTCCAGTTACACCTCCTCTGCTGTATAGATCCTATAACCTCATCATACTCTCCTGGTTCCCCAACACTTTTCAAATGATGACACATCGAATCAATAATCGCATTGGCAGCCGCAAATTCCCCTCTCAACCAAGAAATAAATCCGTCTCTTTCATCAGCATACCAGCCAACCCCACTTCCCGCCACTCCTCCGCCGGCCAGCCCAACCCCACCACCACTGGGAAACTGCATTTTATCAGAAAGTACCACGTTCCCCGATGGCATTGCCATATACATTAAGAATTATCTATATATAAACTATTTGTTCCTTGATTGCTAATACAAGAAATAGAAATTCCTAGCTCATTTCCAGATCTAACACAGAAATAAATAGCCAAAAAGCTGGTGAATCTTGCGGTGATGATGAGCAATAACAGTAATGGTGAAATTGATGATTGGATCAGTAAAATTATGAATGAAAACTGTGTCAAATTCAAGGAAATGGTACAGAATTATGCAATATGAAATCAAAATCAAGAAATATTTGGTATTAATTGTTCGTTTTCCTCTTTATCTCCTCAGATCCGGGCAAAATCAACAACGTAGGTGTTGTTGAATAGTGTGTGAATTTGAGGGTATTGGGAAGAAAGACTTAATTAGGGTTCGTAGAGGATTGGTTGTGGTGTGAGGAAGAAGATATATATATACACACACACATGTATATGGCTTATTCAGCACGCGCATTTGTTACTGAAACAATCTCTCACACATATACACGCAGTAGGAGGGGTGTGTTTGTGATTTTAGTTTCAGCCTCAGCTGCCCGGGGGTTATTTGACATATTCCATTAACTTAAGGGGGTATTTGATAAATAAAATAAAGGACTTCACATTTAGAGGTACATGTCTTAAGGGTTGTTTGTTTACCTCTTAATAGTTTTATTAAAAGGCAACATCTGAATTGTTAAGAGATGAATTTTGTTTGACAAAAAAAAGTCTGTCTCTTAATGGTTCTAAAACCCCTTGAATGATTTGTATCATGGATCTTCTAACCATTAAGAGTCATGATTTCATTGTACACAATTACCAAACAATTATATGTCATTTTGTATTATATCATAATAGTCTATTAATCATTTTGACCACTTAATCATTCTGCATCAAACCATTCAGTAATGCCAAACAGCCCCTTATACTATATTATAAAGCATTTGACAAAAACTCTTAAAAACCATTTTTATTTTTTATGTATAAGTACTGTTTATTAATGCATGTTACTTAAAACTCAAGATTACAAGTAAATTGTGCGTAAGTACAACTTATTAAATCTTAGGGGCTGTTTGGATGCCTCTTAATGGTGACATTAAGAGGAAACCTCTTAATCGGTAAGAGGTATGAGTTGTTTGTCAAAAAAAAGAACCTCTTAATGGTTACAAAAGGCTCTTAACGATTTAGTGTTTAGGGCTCTCCTAAATGATTCAGAGGGGTCTTCTTCCATATTTGCCCTCTCCTCAAACTTCAACAGGCAACAGCCGTTGCTCCTCCCACCCTCCTTCCTCCTTCCTCCTTCCTCCTTCCTCCTCCCAATCGATCTCGCCTCCTCCCACGCCTCTCACCTTTCTTCCTCCTTCCAATCGATCTCGCCTCCTCCCATGAGTTAATGCCTCCCACGGGTTGTTGTTATGTCGCCTTCCACGAGTTGATTCAAAGGGGTTTGTTGTGTCGATCGTTCCTCCCACCCTCGTTCCTCCTTCTGCCTTCCACAGCCCCCTTGCTGCTGTGTCGTTTCCCTGCTATCTCGTCTCCCTGTTTTTTGCCATTTGCCCTGGCTTGTTCTTTGGTTAATGTCATGCTTGCACCAAATGCCATGACTAGTATATCTTTTACTTCATATTTAATTTTCTTGTAGGGGGAGAAGGGGGCGGGAAGGGATCAATTGGAAGTTTCTGTTTCCATTTATTTATCTTCATCTTGTTAGTATATTAATTGTGGATGAAAGTTATCCATCTTTAAGGTGATCGAAAGTTGGGGTTGGACGAGTATATGATATAGGTCTGATAAAAAGGTCAACTGATATGAAGAAACAACATCTTTTCTATATATCCATTTAGAATTGATTGTATTTTGCACCAAATATAATTGTATGTTGGTTTATTCAGTACTAAATCATACAGAGGGTTAAAATGGTAATTTATTGTCATTTAGAGAACAATTACCAAACAACCTTGTTTCATTCAGTACTTAACCATTCTGACCCTCTTAACCATTCTGACCTCTTAACTATTCTACACTAAATTATTCAGCAACTACCAAACAGCTCGTTATTGTGTGTAACTCACATATGTAACTTAAAGAGGGGGGGGGGGGGGTATTTGATAAATATAAGATAGTACTTCACATTTAGAGGTGTTTGGTGCACATGTCTCATCTAATCTCATAAAATTGAAATGGTTAATTTGTTAATCATATTTCATCATTCTGTTGTATTTCACGGATTTCATCATTCCGTTGTATATGTGATGGAATTCAATTTTCATTCCGATCCTTTTTTTAAATGACAAAACTACCCCTCTAAAAAAACTCTAGCTTAATATATATGTGATCAACACCACCTAATTCCTCACTAATCCTTACCGCCTGCCTGAACCTGTTGTTATTGTTACTAACACCACCACCACCACTAACAATCGAGGTGTTGCTGTCACCACCGCTGGTGGTTGTCATTGTCATCATCACCACTGCTACCACCGAAAAAAACCATCGCTGCCTTTGCCATCATCACCACTACCATCACAATCATCAATTAATATTATCATTAATTATATAGTGTTTCTAATTTAATTACAAAAATTATGAATATGTCATAAATGTGTATTTTGGCAATTTATTATTATTATTTTATTTCTATTTTGAAACTACATTCTGCCAACCAAACATTTAGATTTTAATTCTTACCATAGCGGTCCTGAGATTTTGGAGGCCGTGTGAAAAAAAAGTAAATGTGCCCCTTAACTTTTATACTAATTATTAAATTATTTTTACTATAGTTTGATAGTCTATTGATCGATGATTCCTCTTTGATTTTGAACAAACTATATATCTTTTCTTCTTTTTTGATGTTTAAGATATCTGATTCAAATTTATTGTTAGAGACATCGTATTTTATTTAAAATCAATCAATCTTTATCGGTATTACAAAAACACATATCAACAAGAATCTTTATAAATTCATCATCATTAAAAATATATTAACATTAAAAATTAAAAATGTTCCAAAAAACATACAAAAAATCAAACAATGATTAAATATTTTTCTAAATTCTGTTAAATAATCAAAGAAAATTATGGAGGAAAGTATTTAAAAAAATAAAAGAACACTAAATAATCAAAGTTATTGAATACAATATTGAAGTCTGGAGTATAATTTGTGTTCATTTTATTAAGATTTCTTGTGGGCTTAAAAGTCTTTTCAGATTTAGATTTTCTCTTTGAGTGGAATGAGTTCTGTGAAGAGAACCTGTTCTTTTTTACCCAATTTGGTTTGATAAAGCTTTGACCACAATAAGTATAATGGATATGTTTCTTAAGCATAGACATCATCTTAGCACACATACATTTGAAAGGATTATGACCATAATATGCATTAGGAACAAAAGACTAATTTTTTAAAGCTTCAACAGATTTAGAATTGTCAAAATTTACAGACTTCTTCTTTTCTTTATTCCTCTTCCCACTCTTCTTAACTTTCTTGCTCAAAGGCCTTTTTTCCTTTATATGAAAAAGAAGAAGACTTTAAATTAGATGTTTTAGACTTCAAGTTGTTATTTTCCAAAGTGATTTCTTTTTTACAACCTAAAGTCTCACCCTTTTCAAAGAACTTGGTTCTGATGTAAAAGTTAGAGATGGGAACAACTGAAGGCTTAGTTTCTTTAACTTTTGGTTTTGAAGAAACTTTGTCAAATTCGGAGTTAGTGTTGGTTTCCATCTCTATTTTCTCATCACATTCAGACTTATTCATCATTTAATCAAATTTGACCTGAGTCATGTTGTCTATGAATTCAGAAAGATTAATTGATTTAAGGTTGGATTCAGAGTTGTCATTACTCTGGACATGTGATTCAGAGATCTGACTTATCTCTGGATTTTTAATTTCAAACTTAAGTTTAGATTTTGAATATTGTCTAGAGAAATCATGTGACATCCGTCAAAATAAATTCAAGTCAGTTCTAGACTTAACCACCTTGTAATACCAAGTATAAACTCGTCCAATTTTGAATTTAGAAATTAGAAGTTAAGTCATGATTCTACTCGAAAAATTTAGAAATTATGCATACTTTGCACTTAGAAGAGTGAATTGCTTAATTAGTTTATAAAATGTCAATTCATAAATGTCCATCTTACTGCTAGGATTGTTGGGTATTTCAACTTTACTCATGATGAGTATTTGGTATTTTCCAAGGTTTGTGCCGATAGCCATATTCTAACCTCTCTTTTTTTAAGAAAACATACAACATGTTCAATCTTGACTCACCATCCTCTTTCTTTGGAATGGAAGCAGTCAAAATAGGAGTCTTACTGAATTTCGTATATCTGTAATGCTTGATTACAATGTATCTTAACATATGACATCCCCCGCACCAAGAGACATGTTTAATAAAAACTGGAAGGTACTCTTACCTATATCTACACATATTATAAAGCAACAATAATATTCTTGAATCTTGAAGAGGTATAAATTTTAATGCTTGGTTTACCCATGCCCATTCCTTTATGAAAACTCTAACAGCCATTACATGTTGAAAAGTATAAGGTATATCTTTTTAATCTTCCTATACAACTCCAAAGGCCATTAACCTCCCACGGCCCTCAATAATCTAAGCATCGTCAATTTCTGCCCCGTGAAATCTCTCCCTTAGAAGCTTACATGGTGAATATTATTTTGTAGTACGTATTCAACAATGGGGAGCTCAAAGGGAAACAGAGGCTTGTCTTATGCATCTTCAATTTGTACAAGAAAGAGTGATGATCGACTATTTTTCATTTTGGGCTGTTAAAGTTTTAATCCAAGTAAGGGTATCAGGACTGCGATTCTGAATTTGGACATGGGATTTTGATGAACCTTTTTTTGCTCATCACTCCTTGTTTTCCCAATCAGTTTGGATGTTAATAGTTGTGTTATAAGTATGTGGATCCTTTATACAGTGATTTATATTTAAAAACATCATAAAATTGTACTTATATTTGCAACTTTTTGTACCAAGAAAAAGATGATATTTTCCATTTTTTTTTTCTAAAGAGTTGAAGAAAACAATTGTGTTACAGTGAACTTTTAGTAGCAAGTTAATGCTAACTCTCAGCTTGGTTGAG